TCCCACCAAAGATAATCAAATCAAAAGTCTTATCACTGTTAACTTTATCTGCATTTTAACACAAGCAGAAAAACACTGGTTTTGTAAATAATTCCTTACTATACCTTCAGCAACATGAGCATTAACCCTTACCCAGAAGTAGCTTCTTTTACTAACAATATCTTATCCTAAAAAGTGTCCCCAGAATGCAGCCTGCCTCCATCATGGGGGAGAGTTGTTGAGACAGATGGCTGAGGTGGTGGTACTCACTTGACCTGCAGAGGCTAACTGGCCCTGTGCTCTTGTTCGATGGGTTGAGGGAGCTCAGAGCTAAGAGAGGGGTTTTTTCCCCTCAATCTTCTCAAAGGATTGCAAGGTTAATTTTACAATGTATATCTCTATTTTTGACCAGCATTATCTAATAGTTTGAATACTTACTGAACTCTAATTAGCCATTAATTTCACTGCGCTCTCGAGGCAAATGATGCTCATGTCCTCGTCCTCTGGATCAAGGAACTGAGCACTAAGAAGTTGAGAAACTTGTTTAAAATCTCACAACTAATAGTTTTCCTTGAACTGTTTTTTTTCGCCAATATTTGTTTATCACATATATACAGAGTCCTTTCCTCCAGTTTCCAAATATTGAAACAACAGGAAATGAGTTCGTTCTGTGGAAATAAACACCTTTAAAATACTTCTCATATCACGACGTCACCCTTTGGGAACGCAGCTTTTATTCTGCTGCTGTGTTAAGTTAGAGCTGGTACCTATGTGGAGTGACATGTCAAGGTCAAATATCTTGTAATAGTCGACTTCTGTAAACCAAACTATATGCTGTTATAGCAAAACTGTTCCCATGGATGAGCATAAGAGAACGTTAAAACGCTTGCGGATATTTCATAGATTATTGGTAAATGGTGTTTATTGTAATACACATACACACGAAGAATACTTTATTGCCATTCAACCGTTATCGAACTGAAATTAACATTCAGGTTGGGGTTTGGGTGACCGTGAAGGAGAAACCATTCAGTAGCCATCACATATTTTATCTTATTCCAAACTCTTAGAATATAGAATTAAAATCACTCATGTAATAAAAAAAATTGATGTGTAATCATCAATTAAATCTGTGTCCGAGCAAGCATAAGCTAGATCAACTGTATTCATTTGTTGGACTCTTGTAGTATTTTAAAATTTTAAATATATTTACTCAAGTGGAAAACTTTCATCCCGGGAGAATGGATTGATAATCATGGCAGTGAATGAACTACAGCATCAACACAGGTGACTCTTACAGACGTATGCTGGGTGACCGAATCCAAAGAACGTTATAGCCTGATACCACTTACATACATAAAGTTCACAAAGAAGCAAACTGGGTACAAACGTGATGAAGCTGTAAAGGAACAAGGGGCGAACGTATAGAAATTGAGAGAGCAGGTGCCTAGAGTGAAGGTTGGGGTGGAGAGAGCAGAGGGCGAATCAGAGAATTTCTCATTCAGAAAAGTGCTGTAAATCTCTTCATACTTGTTCTGATCTTATTAAAGTTCAAGGCTCTTCCAGCAAAATTCTTTTTTCGTTTTGGTTAGTTTCAGTGCTACAATGGAAGCTCTCTCTTATAAAATCGCTAAACATAAAAAAGGAATTGTAAGTTAAACTATTAAAATTAGCATTTGTATTTTTAAATTTGTATTCCTAAAATCAGGACTTGTAATAGCTTAGCTTTATAAATCATTTATACTCCTCAAACCCACGTGAAGCTTCTAGATGCATACAATTTAGCAGCAGGGACTTGAAAAAAACAAAAAAATGAAAATAAACAATAAAAGCAAAAATCACAAAAACAGTAACCCCTCCTGGCTTGTAGAGACCACTCTGAATCGAGCCTTATGTTGATATTTTTTTCCCCATGAACGAGAACAGCCACCATGAATTTGTTTGATGCTGTGCTCCCTGCAGTTCAAATGCGTATCTGGTGTCCGTCTTGCCAGTTCCGGATCGAAAGACCCTCACGCTAGTGAAATAACACGCTGTGCCAAGAATGCGAGATGCTCGGGTGGGCCCAGCCATGACACGGGCCTCCCGTCTGGGGGACCTGGCTCTGTCTTCCTGGTGGTCCCGGGAAGCCCCTTTCTGGGGGCCACTTACGTTAGAGCGGCCACTGAGGCCCCCTCTGGGGACTCAGGCTCCGGGCTGTCATCCAGAGGGAGAGGACAGGTGCTCTGACGTGTCGCCCTTAGATCCTTTCTCCCCCGCTTCAGCGTCCGTGGGACGTCCGAACCTCTGGGCCGGCGGGGTGGCAGGTGGTTCTTTGGGACTTAGAAACGTAACCGTAATAAGCATTCTGAACTTTGTCGCTCACTTGGAGAGTATTCCAGAGCCGCCTTCTTTCTAATGTCGTGTGTTTACCCTTGAGCAGATTTGAAGTTTATCCTGCCATTCCGATAAGGATCGGGAAGGGGAAAACGTTCAAGTTCTCTGAATAGGTTGGGTCTCGGGCAAGAGTCAGCAAATCTCTTCCATGAAGGACCAGGTAGCAGCTCTGCTAGGCCTGCTTTGTTGCTTGTGTAACCACGATCTGTAACCGCAGAAAAGCAGGAAAGGTGGGCGTGGGGGTTGCTGAGCTGCGTGAGGGCGCGCCTGCGGGCCATGCTGCGGAGTTGGAGTTTTGTATTTTAGAATGGTGGTTTTCAACATGTTTCGGCCTCCCAGCAAAGAGCTTTTTGGGGAGCTCAGCGTGTTAAATGGAGAACCTCAGGCGTAACCTTCCATTTAGTAGTAAGCAGGGGACCAGTCTACGTGCAGTAGCCCCAGAAGGGTTCCACAAGACCCTCAGGCTCCGGGGACACCGCCGCGTCCACAGCCGGCGGTGGAGAAGGGGGCGAGGAGAGGCATGTGGGGGTGCTTCTGACCGGGGGACGGGCGGGCGGTAATGCCATTCGCAAGTAACAGCGGTGATAACTGTGTCTCTCATGGGCCTTGTTCTCTGTGGTTCACAAAGCGCTTTCATATTCATGGGGTCACCCACTTCCTGGTCACTCCTTAACACCCCGGTGGCGTGACTTCTGCCGTGCTCCTTCCCGCTGGTCGACCTCGCAGGCATTCACTTTGCTCGCCAGCCCTCCTCCTGAAAACTCTTACCTTGCCTCTGACGTCTCCTGATCCCCGCGAATTTCCTCGCCTCCCCTGCTCCCTCTTGTCGTTAGGCGCAGGTGCTGCTCAGAGCATCCGGGCCTGCCCACCCCTCGTCCCTCCCCTGCTGATACCGTCCACTGTCGTGGTTTCATTTATGTCGCCAGACCTCGCACACACACACCCGGTCCCGTGTCCCGAACTTCAGGATGACTTCAGCTCCCTGGGAGACACCAGTGGCCAGCTGTGCATCAAACCCCGCATCTGCGCCTGAGCCGATTAACAGCCGTCCTCCTCCTCCGCCTGCCTCCCGCCTCGTCAGTGACCGGCTTCCCCTCTCTCCCCGGGCTCAGGCTGGGCGTGGCGTGTGACCCCTTCCTCCACCCTTACACCAGTCACCTATCAGATTCTGTTCGTCCATCTTCACATGTCATTCGCCTCTGTCACTTCCTGCTTGTTGCCACTATTCTCGTTCAGACACTGTCACTTACCTTCGTCATTTCAGTGACCCCTAACTTGTCACCGCTGCATTAGTGTCTGTTACCGCCCATCCGTCATATGTGTTCCTGCCAGAATAATTTTGCTAACATATGCCCCGATATATGTCATTTTCTCCCTTGTCTAAAAATCTTCACTAAGTCCAAACTACCAGTAGAATGAAAATCATTGTTCATTTTTCTGGAATTCAAAATTTCTGGCATCTAGATGTGACCTTACTAAACTTACCTTCTAAACTTATCCCCCATTTTGTCCCCTGATTTCCAGACAGATTATTCCCTGGTTCTTCTACACGTCCTGTGTCCCAACTCCGTCTCTTTGTCACCCGTTCCTGTGCTTCATTATTCCCCAGCACTAGAAATCCGGAATGCCGCGTAGCCTGTCAGGTCTCCCCGCCTGTGACATTGCTGCCACCTGCTTCTCGGAGCTACTGCAGCGCTTTGTCTTACGGCGCTGCTCATGCCGTGTCTGATGCACTCGTACAGCGTCCCCTGCTAAACCACAAGCTCTCCTAGGTCATGATTTGTTTCTGATCGAGTCCAGGAGTGCTCCCGGCCTTCATCGTGCGCTGCGCGTGGTGTGCGCGTAGTTAACACGCGCAGAAAAAAGTGATGCGACCTTACAGCAGCCCCGTCGAGTCGCAGGGCGAGTAACGTTGGCCCCCTTGGAAAGTTCGGGAAACAGGCTCAGAGCCGTTGAGAGATTGCCTACGGCCTCTGCCGCGGTAGTGCCGGAACGCTGGCTGACACAGCACCTCGCCGACACGCCCGCCAGCACGTGTGCCGCTGCGGCACGTCGCCTCGCAACGCGGCGGGTGTCACACAGGCGAAGCGGAGGGCGTCAGGAGCATGCGGGTCGTGCCCGGGTCGAGGCTTCCCGTTCCCGAACCTCGAGAATTACATGTTATAAAGGTCCTGAAAAAGTGTACGCCTTGCCGTCATTTCCAAGGGTAGTAGTCGTGTAATAACCAACATCTTGATTTTGAGAAGCGTGTGTGTGTGTGTGTGTGTGTGTGTGTGTGTGTGTACACGAGGAAGAGGAAAAGAGAAAGTATTTAGTCGGGTCAGGAAAAGAATTAATAAAAGGAAGCAGATGACAGACAGGAAATACTTAGCAAACTCCAGATCCCGAAAGTAGGGCCGAACCACCAGACAGGGCCCCGTCGTTCGCCTCGGTGGCCGTCACCGATTGCCGCTCCTCAGACAATGACGGTGTGCGAGTCTGGAAGATCCTCGAAAACTTTCCTCTCAACACTGTCAAAAATTTTCTCTGTTTCCTAGAAATCATTGTTTTCCTTTCCTAGAAAGTATTATTTTTATTTGTTAGACGTGTTTTGTTTTTTGTTTTTTGAAATACACCAATAACACTGTTTTTCCTTCCTTCACCAGAAGAAGAAGAAGAGCAGGTGCCCACCGATGGGGGGACGTCGGCGGAAGCCATGCAGGTTCCCCTGGAAGCAGACGACGAGCTGGAGGAGGAGGAGATCATCAATGACGAGAATTTCTTGGGTAAGAGACCGTTGGACAGTCCGGAAGCCGAGGAGATGCCCGCGGTGAAGCGGCCGCGACTGCTGAACGCCAAGGGGGACGCGCTGGACGCGGTGCTGTCGGAAGCTCGGGAGCCGCTCAGCTCGATCAACACGCAGAAGATCCCCCCGCTGCTGTCTCCCGTCCACGTGCAGGACAGCAGCGACCCCGCGCCCGCGTCGCCAGAGCCGCCGATGTTAGCGCCCGTCGCAAAATCACAGCTGCCAGCCGCAAAGCCCTTAGAGACAAAGTCGTTCACGCCGAAGGCAAAGACGAAAACGACGTCTCCGGGACAGAAGTCTAAGTCCCCTAAAACTCCTCAGGCGCCGGCAATGGTCGGAAGTCCCATCCGGTCCCCGAAAACGATGTCCAAAGAAAAGAAATCTCCTGGACGTTCCAAGAGCCCCCGAAGCCCCAAGAGCCCCAAGGCTGTGTCCCATGTCCCCCAAACACCCGTCAGGCCCGAGACGCCAAACAGGACCCTTTCGGCCACAGCAGGCGAGAAGATGAGCAAAGAGGCCCCCGCGGTCACACACGTGCACATCCCCCCGGACCCAGGGAAGCTGAGCACTGAGAATCCGCCCAAAAAGGCCCCGGTCACCGACAAAACCATCGACGACTCCATCGACGCCGTGATCGCCCGGGCCTGTGCCGAGAGGGAGCCGGACCCTTTCGAGTTCTCCTCGGGCTCAGAATCAGAAGGCGACATGTTCACCAGCCCTAAGCGCATCTCGGGGCCGGAATGCATGACTCCCAAGGCCGCCCCCTCCAACACCTTCACTAAGGCGGGGGCCACGCCGCTGCCTCTGGCCAGTGGGACGTCCAGCTCGGATAACTCCTGGACGATGGACGCCTCCATCGACGAGGTCGTACGGAAAGCAAAGTTGGGGACGGCGCCCGGCGTGCCCCCCAGCTTCCCTTACCTGTCGTCTCCCTCCATCTCCCCTCCCACGCCCGAACCCCTGCACAAGCTGTACGAGGAGCGGGCCAAACCGCCGTCCTCGGCGGACGTCAAAAAGAAGTTGAAAAAGGAACTGAAGACGAAAATGAAGAAGAAAGAGAAGCAGAGAGACAGGGAGAGGGAGAGAGACAAAGGCAAGGACAGAAGTAAGGAGAAGGAGAAAGGGAAAGATAAGGAGAAGGAAAAGGAAGCCAGCAAGGAGACCAAGTCCCCGTGGAAGGAGCTCCTGCGGGAGGACGAGTCGGACCCCTACAAGTTCAAAATCAGAGAATTCGAGGACGTCGACTCCAAAGTGCGGCTGAAAGACGGGCTCGTGAGGAAGGACAAGGAGAAGCATAAAGATAAGAAGAAAGATAGAGAAAAGGGCAAGAAGGAGAAAGAGAAGCGAGACAGGGACAGAGTCAAAGAGAAGGGTCGCGAGGACAAGGGGAAAGCGCCACCAGCCCCCCTGGTACTGCCACCCAAGGACGTGGCCCTGCCCCTGTTCAGCCCCGTCCCGGCCGCCAGGGGCCCGGCCCTGCTGCCCTCCCTGTCGCCCATGCTGCCCGAAAAGCTGTTTGAAGAAAAAGAGAAACCTAAGGACAAAGAAAGGAAAAAGGACAAAAAGGAGAAGAAGAAAAAGAAAGAGAAGGAGAAGGAAAAGGAGAAGAAAGAGAAGGAGAGAGAGAAAGAGAAGAGAGAGAGAGAGAAGAGAGAGCGAGAAAAGGAGAAACACAAGCACGAAAAAGTAAGCACTTGCCTGTTTCCAGCACGACCCGAACACGGTCCCAGTGACGATGAAAAATGCAGGTGACAGGGCCAGCAGTTATGTCCGTGTTTTGGATGCAGGTCACCCATGTCACTGGAAACGTGTTGGTAATGGGGTTACAAAATTTAACTTTAATTGTAAAACTTACAGACTTGTAATTAAGCCCCTTATACACTAGAAAGCGTTAACAATTTAAGAGGATTCTAATCAGACCATCAGCTCTCTATTAACCGTACTAATCTCTGGCAGGTTAAAGAGATTGGTAATCTTAAACCGTGAACGATATTTTTGTAAGGATCGAGTCTACTACATACCGTTTTGTACCCAAATACTAGATACCCGAAGAGGACAGCATTCATTTTTCCAAGAGCATGCAGGACCACGGCTCTATTTTAAGTTAGTTAGCAAGACCCCGGGTCCTTCCTTGCTTGCTCATTTTCTTCTGAGTGAGCCATTTTTGCAAATATTTAAGGTTATGGTGTCTGCTACGATCTGTGGCATCCCTCGCCCTTCTGCGTTCTGCTTTGGTAAGCTTAGGACCTGTTTCCGAGTCTCCGGGCTGATCTGCAGCCCGGGCCGGGGGAGGAAAGCGACCGCGAACGTCTTACGCTGCGGGTCAGTCGGGCTTGGTGGAGCACAGTGCAGGAACCAGTAGCCATCCCGCGGTCCCGTGGGGGAGCTCGGCCACCATCCTTCGGGCGTGCGAGGCGTGGCCTCTGCTTCCATGGCCTGGCTCTTTAGTCCGAGTTCTTTGGATTCCTAGCGGTAGACTGGTTGATTCGAAATTCTCTTTTAAACTTTCTTCAGAAGTTTCCAGGAACTCCCGCTAGCAGACGTACAGTTAGGTCCTCAGACACCTTTTCTTGCCTTCTAGAGGCTGTCCTCTTTGAGGCTAGCTACAAAACAATACACAGTCATTTTTCTCACTTGATAAAATATGATCTATTTGACCTACCACAGATCTATTATCAATACTTTGGCAATATTTTTCATTTCAAACTTAGAAGAACTCGTCGGGCTGACCAGATGTGACGGCAACCCTCACATTTTTCTGCCTAACTTTAATAAATAGCCCTTGGGTATTCTAAAATATGAAGAAGTAGAATGAAACTCTGATTAAGAACCGAACGTGGGCAAGTTAACAAGACACAGAAATCCAACTCTTCTTTCCATTTTAAAAGTCATTTCATCACCTATGTAGTACCTGGCACTTCCACATACCTTATTTTCTTCTCCTAACACACCTGGGACAGAGGTCCAGCAGGTACTGTTATCACCATTGACCGATGAGAAACTGAGCCAGAGAGAGTGACTTGTCCAAGCCAAGGTCACCCAGGCGGCCAGAGCCAGGTCGCGTGCACACAGGTGTCCTTCCTGTTTCAGACACCTTGCCTGGCCGTAATCAGTCACTTACCCATCATATACCTAGCAACCTGGCGGCCGAGCCTCCAGCCAACCAAACAGGTCCTGTTGCTTCCGGCACCGTCTCAGCTTCGGAAGTCAGTGGGGCCGTCGTGAATCCGAGTAAGCCAGTCAGGTTAGATCTGCGGCAGCAGCCCATGCCTGCTCCGCATCTGTCTGGCCGTGAGAAGGCAAAGTTCCTCTGACCACCCTCGCTGGAGGCAAAGGCTCGGTTCCAAGTGACACATTTCGCTCACAGAAGCCTTCAAGGCCTTGTGTCAGTTTTGATTGGCTATGGAGCAGGTCAGTGACAAAAAGTAAACGCTTAAAAAGTCAGCTATCGTATAAGGTCTTTAAAAAAAAATAAACAGCATTGTCTCTAGAGTTAAACCTGAGTTCAAATCCTGACTTTTTTGAGCTGCGTGAAGTCGGGCAAGTTAGTTCTGTGAGGAGCAAATGAGATGAGATAACCGCCGAGACGCGCTGAGCGCTGTGTCTGGCACGTAAGCAAACGCTCCGCAAACAGACGTGACGGTGATGCTGGTGGCGAGTGTTGTTATTCCACTCCGAGCCAACCCCTGGAAGCTAGAAACCCAGAGTTTTTACACCGTCGACGGTACAAGCTAACGTATGTGCGACAGGGCAGGTCAGCGTGGTCACGGTGTTCAAAAATTATTTCTGCTCCTTGGGCAGTCTTTTAAATTTCAGCGCTTTATGCAGTTAGGAAAGACATAGCCAGGGCAGCCCATGGAAACGCCATCGACAAGGAGTAGAAACTGAGCTGTTAACCCCACTGAATCCCCCCAAGTCTCAAGACATGCGAGCGAACGGAAGCAATGCCAAAGCTGGTGTGCTCCGTGCTCTAAGAAACCCCTTCCTGACCACAGAAGAAAGACAGCAAAGGTCAAGGGCACATCAAGGTGAGGCCTATGTGAGCTGCCCCCTCGTCCCGGCCAGCTCACAGGAGCAGTTCTCTGACACTGACCCAGAGCAGCAAGCGAGGGTGTCGTCATAATACAAGAAAGTAACCTCCCCATAGCTCTTCTACCTGCCTGTAGAGTTTTTACCTGTCACACCCACATTTACCAGTACAAGCACCAACAACGGTACCGTTTATTAAATGGGGATCTGCATGGTGAGGAGAAGGAGCCTGGAGCTTTGGAATCCAGCAGATCTGAGGGAAGAGCCAGGACAAGCTTTTTCATTTCTTTACTCCCCAGGTACTTCGTCTTTAAAGTAGGAATATGATAATCACACTTTTTTTTTAAAACAGCGGAACAGTAAGAGTTAACATTTATTGAGTGATCACTATATGCTAAACACTATAAGTTTACGTCCTTACCACAACTCTGTAAGGTAGTTACTGTAATTATTATCACTTTAAGATGAGAAATTGGGGCTTAGAGAGATTAACAAACCCGCACAAGATCACACACTTAGGTAGGGGCTGAACGGGAGGCGCAGTCCAGCCCAGGCCATCGGATGCCGTAACCGGCCTCGCTAACCACTGCGCTCTGCTGCATTGAATTTGAAATGGGCCGAGCGAAGCGGCGTGCGCAGGCGCCTGGTTGAGTGACGCGCCATCAGAAGCAAACTCGTTTTCCCAGTCGCGGTTGTAATGCAGAGGACAGCGACTGACTCACAAGCCGGTAGTTAATATCACGCATTAGCCAGGGCCGGGAGTCTGGGCTCTCCCTCTTTAAGTAAGAGCAATGGTGTCGACGTGTGACACACCCCGCAGTAACTTTCAGAGCAGTTTAAAAACTTTGTGTTTGTGTCGGTGCATGTATCGTGTGACTTAATTTATTAGCCGTGGATCTTTGAGGTTTAGATGAATGTTACAGGACTATGTTAATTAAAATTTAGTATTTTAAGTGTTTTGGGGGGGGGTGGAGGAGGATCACTGTTAAAGAGAACGTCTCATTTATGTTAATGGAATTGAACAGTTTTACAGATAGCCTTATGTAGGAGATGAGCCCAAATCCATCAGTCAAACTTAGAAACATGTTTTTATGCTCTTATTGGAATGTGATCTAAGACGCCATCCTAGAGTTTCACCCCCAAAACGATGACGTCAGTAGAGAAAGAGGGCCCGCGCCGGCCCGCGGAGGGCATGGGCTTCAGCAGTCAGACAACGTGGATCTAAACTCAGCTCATCCACCAGCCTCGCCTGACTGCCGGCCCTCTCTCCCTCCCTCTGCCTCCTTCCTCCCCTTCAGGACTAGGGAAGACAGCGTCACAGCAGTGTGGGTCACCTCTACCTTCTCTAACAATGTTGTGGCTTAACAGGCCTTCTCTTCAGCCCTCTCATAGAAAACAAGATTAGTTTGTGCCATTTAAGACTAGTAGATGACTGTGACAATTCCAGATTTTCGTACAGCTAATGAACATCGATAGTCAACTCATAGAGGACTGAGATTTGCTCGTAATGGACAGCTCATCAGTTCTGTAAAGGATTTCCCAAGTTATTATCCTACCTACTGATGAGTCGTTTTATTTGAGCTAACGTCAGCTTTTGCATGAACTAACCCAGATAGTGACGCTGGCAGCCATCATTTACTGAGTACGTACAGTTGGTACTTGCCAGACCTGGCCAGAATTCGATTAATTAATCCCCCCAACGGCTCCGAGGGTTTGGTACTGTCGCTGCTGCTTTGCCGTTGAGGACAACGGAAAGGTCAGGGAACTTGCAGCTGGCGAGTGAAGAGCCACAGCTCGCCCCGGGTCTGTCTGAGCAAAGCCTGCGTTCTCTGTTACCCGACAGCCTCCTCAGGCCATCTCCTCTGATGGAAGCCGATGACAGGGACAGGCACGGCTTCATCCTCTCGAGCAAGGTGACGTCATGATCTAGAAAAGTTTAGTCCCTGAAGAGACCTCAGAGAGCTCCTGTTCAGCTGCCGTATCTGAAGGGACAGGCAGTGGAGGGCCTCGAAGCTTCTGTGGCTTCAGTAATGAACAGTTACAGGGTCGAACGTTTCCTCAGTCTATCCCCAAATCCTCAGCATTTGCCCCCCAAAATAGTCTTTTATTGCACTTAAACAGTTTGCTCTTTAGAGAATGATAGTCTTACTGCCACGTGCCTGTAACAAAAGGTTCTCATCATCTTCCCTTCTGTTTGTTTATCTGTTTGTTTATTTATTTGTTTTAGTTAGACGTTTATATAATTTATTCCCTGCTATTTAAAGTAACATCTCATTTCCAGTCTTAACTGCTCTCATAATTAACTAGTGAAATGAAGGGTTTTCGGTAAATAAAATAACCCAGTAAAAAGAGGGAAATATTCCTTTCCTGTTTCTTATTACTGTCTGTTCCAAGAGGAAACTAGTAACCGATGTTTAAATGAGCACATTTGAATTTATAGACGTTTACCAAAGGCCATCCCCAAGTCTTCATGTGAGTGAACACCGAGCGCTTAACGAAAGCCTGACTCTTCTCTTGTCCTTGCTGGATTCCACTTGTCCTGTGTGACCACAGCATAGGCCACCTTCTCTTTGACCATCCTTTTAATATTTTAAATGGTGTATCAGTGTTTACTTAGACTATGTTTCTACGTGGAAGTAACGTAAAGACCTCGACTGCTAAGAAAGACAGTAAGATGGTTACCAGTTGTCATAGTTCAACATCCAGGTCGTTAGGTAATTAAATTTGGCTTTTCATCCCCACTATTTGTGGATATTTTTCCGACATACTAGCATAGACAGGAATCTGAACTAATGCTGGCTGAACTGGCTGCTACCCTACCTAGCACACATACATGGGGCTTTTTTAATGAAAGAAGTTTAACATTAAGAAAAAATAGAAAATAAAAACTTGGCCAGATTATATTGACAAAGCTGCCCATTACCTTTGCAGAAAGTCCCTGTCAGAAGATAAACTTTAAAGCTGGAATGCATGAAAGAGTTCCAAGATAGAATTTAAATTTAAACTGATTCTTTATAGATAAGCTTTTTAAAAATCCACCTCTTTGCTTCAAGTCAGGATTTTAAAAATAAATTTCCCCTTTAAATCTCTTGAGCGATTTTCATTTTTTGCAAGGCCGCACTGCTGGTGTCCTGGAAAAATGGAGAGTTAGAGCTTTATCAGTTGGTGCCCTGAGGTATGTGGCAAAGAAGCTAAATCCTTGAAGATTAGCAAAAAAAATGCAGCACATGGCAATAAGGGGCTTATATGACTACTAGTATTAGTTCAGGTGAAAGAAGTATTGCTTATACATAAAACTGGACAAATCCACTGACAATGTATTTTTAGTTAGCCACAAAGGAGTCTAACATTACTGGACTTTGCCTCTTCGGAGAATCGGGACGTGGTAATCCACTGTAAATGCTCTCCCGCGCGCCCCAGTTCTCAGCAACCCTCCAAAGCCCTCTTCTTTTATTTTAACCCTTAGAGGCCCACGCCGTCCCCAGGTCTTGGCTTCATGCCATACAAAGATGGCGTTAGTCATACGTTTAAGCGATTGAAGTAATTGTCATTTCGTTTGTTGATTTCTGGGAAATTGGTTTAGGATTGTAGGAAACGTCTCTTTATCTTGGTAGGCATTTGCACAAAGTTAGCGTAAACAAGAGTCTGGTGAGGAATTTCTGTTATTTTTTAATTATTGTTTTAAGATATGGAACGCTTCACGAATTTGCGTGGCATCTCTGCGCTGGGGCCATGCTAATCTTCTGCGTATTGTTCCAATTTTAGTACACGTGCTGCCGAAGCAAGCACAGAAATCTTTATTTAGAAATTGTACTTTCTCTATCTGCGTTATTAGCATTGTTATTAACCTTTTTCAACACTTGCTGGATTTTTGTCTTTAAGTTAAATCTGATTTAGCTTCTTTAAGAACGAAATGAAGGCACTTGAGTATCTTAGGTAGGGTGACCGGATGTCCTGGTTTGTCCAGGACAGTCCAGCTTGCACCGGTCGTGTGCTGTGGATAACTCTGCCCACCTTCACTCTCAGAGGTATCGCTGTTTGGACTGTGTGCTCATCTTCATTACAGGTAAAACTTCGAGCCGAGGTAACAGGCTCTAAATCATTCAGTAACTCAACAGGTTTACTAAATAGCTCTTGTCTTCAGGTTACATTTATACCATTTTTAATTTGACTTATAAGAAGTATCTCTATTATTCTTATTTTTTACATGTGGCATCATTTAACTTTTTTTTATGGTGGCCCATGAAGAGACCGTGTCTTAATTCTTTTGTCCCCCGCCAAGCCATTTAAGACAGCATCGAAAAGCCAGGCAGTTTAGTTGAGGGGAAGTGAGGTCAAAGTTAATCTCACTTTCCACATAAACTAGTTAGCCTTCCATGGAGAAAAAAAATATTTTACCACCAACCTTAGCCATCTCACAAGTCTATGTCAGTCATCGTAAAAGATGCTGCAGACAAAGTGGACAGCTTTATGCGAGACCTCAGCATTGAGATGTGGCAGAGTCACCTCACTTATTGTACAGGGGTCTTGCTCTGACCCCACCCCACGGACTCTTGATCCCCTAAGGGTTCAAGGAAAATGGCTGGGCCATACCATCCAAAGACCTAGGCAGATGAAGGGGCCATCCGCCTCCCCCCCAAAAAAGGTGGTACCATGGAGAGGGGCAGGTCTTTGGGGAAGCTGGGAGTTAAAGGTGTGATGAGGTGAAGCACCATTCAGCTCTGTGGTTGAAAACGCTCCGTCAGCAACATTAGGTTTCAGTCTTCGGCTCCCTCAGTGCCAGCCTAGGGGAGAGTCTGGAGACACGGCATATTTCAGGCTTACACTGAAAACCATGGACAGGGATGGATCACTGAAGAAACGGGGGGGATGACAGGAGGAGAGGACCAAATAAGGTCAGGCACAAGCAGAGGGCTTTGTAAGAGAGGAGGAGGAGGAGGGAGGAGACCTACCCTGGAGAAACGTCCTGGGACGTGAGGGACGTTAGGAAGTAAGTGGCGTCCAGAGCGAGTGGGCTTGGCGGCGTGGCTGGGCTGAGAGTAGATTGGAGCGGGTTGAGGAGTCCGTGGAAAGCTAGAGACTGAAGAAGAGGCAATTTAAGGAAAAGATGAAGTCAAGCACTTGTAAAAGCTGCATGAAAATGTTGAATGGGACTGAGGTCGAAAACGCAGAAACGAACAGGCTCATCGATGGGGGAAGGTGTGTTAGCACACCGCGGAGGTGGGCCCTAGTGGAGTCGGGGACACGAGTTTGTGGGGGCTTGACAGTTTCCCTAGCGGTCCAGGCCATAGATCTTGATGTAACAACATTAAAAATAAACTTTAAAAGAGGACAGGTAAAAATTTATGAAAAAAGAGTAGATTTGCTCAATGTGCAATATATAAGTCATATGATATAATATATTGGGTATTGTAATATATTCATTCTCCTTTAAAACCACCAGTCTGTTTCATTACGATTTAATTCTTAAGCTCGAAATGTATCATCAGTAGTTTGCTGGTGGATGTCACAGTGACGAGCAGTGTGTCTACAGTACTACCCGAGACCTGGGCGGTCACCATCCGGCAGTGCCCGGCACAGTCCCACTCAACAAAGAGCTGCCCCACCAAAAATGGGAATAAATCCCCTGTTGCAAAGCTGTGATATAGATGATAATGTTTTTTCAGTCTGTTCATTCCACGTATTTGTTACTCCATAGGGTCTTCACCCAAATGGAAAGGGCCCCTCTGACATTGTACTTAATCGTGTCCCCCCCTTTCCGACTCTCTGTGACCTTTAACTTCTCCATCAGTCGCTGCCTTCGCCACACATCCTTTCTAAAACATATTTGGTTTCTTTATAGTATTTCGGATCTTTGTTCTACTAGCCAAGAAATTGAGCAGTTTAATGCTATAGTCACACTTGATGTTTCACTCTCTTATGTAATGCAGACTTAAGGTGAGTTTACAGTTTTACAAATCCCATAATAGATGCCTTTTATAGCGGAGAGATCACTGTATTTTTTTTTTTCTGTTCATGGTAAGTCTGGCAACTACTTCAGCTCTCCACCAGGTGCTCTAGATAACAATTTCTGTTTAAAAAATTCTAACAATAAAATCTAAGAAATTAACCAAAACTAAGAAAATAGATAACGACCCCATTGACAGGACGTGATTAAAGTTTGTAGAATTTCTCACGATGCCAGGTAGCCTTTGGTCGTTGAGAAGCCAGAGCCTTGTGTGGCCCAGGTTATCTGTGCATCCAGCAAGTCTTCTAGCCGCGTTTGAGGCTTAAACCTGCTTATCAGGTTTGTGGAGATGGGGAAGTAGGAGAAGCAGTAGGAGGTACTTTTGGTGGAAAAAAAAAAAAAAACAAAAAAAAACTGTATTTCACTCTGCTGTCCTAACTTCAACAGATAAAAGTGGAGCCAGCTGTTCCAGCCCCAAGTCCGGTTATCCCCAGATTAACCCTCCGAGTCGGTGCTGGCCAAGACAAGATGTGAGTATGAGCGTGTGAGTTAGAGTGGAGTGGATTGAACTGAACCGTCTCTTCTCTTGCCTGATGGATTCGGAGCTTTCCTTCACCCGGTGTGAAATGCAGGCTCATGCCTTACTTTGAGAATCCTTCATTTTCAATTCGTATTGCTTTCTTCCGCAGAGTAAATGCATATTGCTTTATTTAACATGTATGATCTTTTTTTTTTTTTTTTAATTTCCTTGTTCTTTCTCTCTTTATTAAGTACGAGCACATAACATTGCTTTTGCCTGGCTTTTACAGTTCTGGTTATCTGAAAAGTAAGTAAGAGATTATGTATTGAAGAGATGAACTGCCGTAGTACACCTCGGCGGGTGTAATGCTACACCTTCTCAGTATGTATTCCCCGTCACTATCGCAGACACCGAGATTCTCTTCTCGCTCAGATGGCACATGGCTTTATTCTGTACCTGTAAAACAAAGCTACTGCCAAAGGCTTCATAAACCAGTACATAATAATAACGGAAATCTTAATTACCTGCTTTTATTTTTAAGAGAGAAGTTAAACGTAAACCCCAGGTGTGCTGTTTGTCTTAATTTTTACAACATCATCACATCAGCCCCCACCTTTCTTGAAAGTGAATGAAGTGGCTGTGCTTCTTTATTCATTTCTGGGGTGTGAATTAGGGCCCGCAATGCTCTTTTGTGATCCTAATAAGGATTTTTTTTTTTTTGGTAAATCACATTGAAGTCTTCCTTTTATTCAAAAATCATACTATATATCATTTCAATGAATTTCACAAGCTAAATGTACAAGTTGACAACCTTATTTTTTTACCAGTAAGCCTGAAAATGGATTAGTTTACATTGCAAACAATCAAATATTCTGTAGAAAATAGGCTTACAAGACAGTTAATTTTCATTCAGTTTTTAACTACAAAAATGAAAATAGGGCCCATGGATTTGTTTAGTAGGTAGAGTAAAAATATGCTTTGTGTTCTCGGTGGTTCATTCCATTTAAAGTTTGTATTTATTTTATGCTGCCGCTTTTGTGAACTTCCAATGTAATTCATTGACGAAAGTCCGTCACCATTATGATAAACAGCCTTCTGGGGGAGCGTATGCTCTTCTGAAGATAGAAAGGAGAAAATCCAGATAGTTCGTTCTTTTCCTACCTAAATTATCTGCACAATCTCCACAGTCCTCTTTTTGGTTTCACCAGTAGAAACCTAGACGATAGATGGTGGTTTTGCCGACGCTTAGACAGCGTAACAAAAATACTGTAGATTCGGCTCTTTATTAACCAGTTACTGGTATACCTGGTGCCCTCGACCTTACCTACAAAAATTTGAATAAATTTACCCTTATCTCTCTCAACCAGTAGGGGACAGAGGTCGGTCAGCAAGGAGACCCAACCAGAGTAACTGTTCGTACCATCTTCTCGGGAATTCTGGGTTTGGGCTTATGTCTCTAAGGGGAAGATGTTTTTATATGTCAGTCAACAAATACTTTTCTCCTACTAGTTCATGTTTATTCCTGTTTCTCAGTAAGTCACTTAATCTTTACTTCCACACGCGTTTGGCTTGCACGTTCCCTTTGGAGAAATGGGCTTTGTAAAAAGGAGCAGTGATAATAATAGTCATCTCATCCACCCTTAAGCGTCTTTCAGTCATTCTGTCGACTTTTTCTTCTCTCAGTAAGTCACTCATACACCTGAGATACCGGAAGATGTGAGAAATAGATTCCGTTACTGTGGAACAGAAGGTACAGCTTTGGGGGTCGCAGTACCCAGACATTACAGACGAATTGCCCATGGAGTACGTTATATAGCAGGTGAACTTTCAGATATAACTGCCATGTTGTATGAGTAATAATCATTCGACCAAAGTCAGACTCGAGGAAATACTTATAATGAACTAAAGAATAAATTCAGTGAAATATACTACATTTTACATTTAAATAAGAGAGGGGAAAAGAGGCACACATCACATAGTAATGCACGTTATGTAACTTGATCAGTAAAGAGTTTTTCTTTTTTTAATCTAAATCAGAGGTCAGCAAACCGCGGCCCATGGGCCAGGTCCATCCCGCTGCCTGTGTTTGTGTGGAAAAAATGTAAAAAGTAATATTTTATCACATATGAAGTTAAAAGTCTCTCTCGCGCTGTAGCATGAGGGTGCACGGCTTCCTCCCCACGGTAATAATGGAGAAGAAGCGGCAGATTCATACTGATGTGCATGTACCCCCTCGGTTTGTGCGCACTTGGGGGGCAGTGATACTCTTTTGAAGTGAAATTAACGAGCGGACTTGGGGTTTGAATAGTCTGGGGAGGGGGTCGTTTACTGCTGAAAAACAGGCAGAGAGAATAGAGTCTTTCAAAATTATAGGAAAAAGAAAAAGCTTTACAGGGTTCAAATTATACCCTCTCGTTGAAAGATCTTTAAGACAATATTTAGTTTCTAAATCTCCTTAAATAAAGACGTTATGTCTTCTGCCCTTGATCCAGGGAAGTGCTGTGAGGTTAGATTATCTCCTCTATTCTCTTATTGTGCCTTGAAGCAAGACAGAGGTACCTTACTTTTGCCTTTATTTAATGTGCCTGGAAATTATATCCTAAAGGGTCTTTGTCGAGTCAGTACCTCCCCCCGATGGTGTTAAAATTCTAGATGACTTTGCAAGGACCTCCGATTCTTTTGCTGTGTCTCCATTAACGGGTATCCAGAGCCCCCTAGTCTGTATTGAAGATGAAACTCAAATACCCTGAAATTTCAATCTTAACACCTGCGAAGTCTGTTGGAGTCGTACGAATGGGAAGAAACAGCCCATTCAGGTAAATTGCCAACAGATAGCCGATCCCGGTCTGACAGTCAGGTGGGTTTCAGCTTGTCCGGAACAGCTGCCTAGAACCATATTGATCAGGATTCCGAGGTCCCACTTGGACTCAGTGACGAAGGGCAGGGCTAGTGCGGTGGAGGGGCGGTGGCGACACAGTTGTCATGTTGTCATCCACGTCTTCTCTGTTTTCTGAGTTAGTTTATTTTGAGCAAGTACAGGAAGAGTGGGCTAACTTATGGCATTCATTCATTCATTCATTCATTCATTTCTATGAAGAAAATAGAGCAAAGTGAGGTGATGGGTATCTTAGGGGCAGGGACTGTTAAGACAGGGCTGTCAGGAACGACATGGCAGCACAGGACCCACAACTTCTAAGTTTAAATGTGTGGCTATATTTACAAAGCTCAAAATACTGCTAAAGGAGCTTCTCATGAAAAAAATAATAATTTTAAATATTGGTAAAGTATTAAGAAAAAACAAATGGATATAAAGATTTGGGGATGAATAATGGCAGTTAGGGGATTAGGTGTTCTCCCCCACTGCCACTTCTCAGATGTCTCTTCAGCGCTGTCCCGGCCGGTGCCGGGAGGAGGCTCTGTCCCTTCTGTCATCAGTGCCAGGACGGTCGATGGGGTTACTGTGTTGGAGAAGTCGTCAGCTGCCCTTATGCAGTGGCCTCGCCAGAGGAGGGGTTATTAATTGGGACCCTCCAAACGTCCAATAATGCTCGGTCATTTTTCTAATTAATATCTAATACTGTAGTTGATCAGGTGACACGGAATCGTTAATGATGCCTCTCAGAGAATAGTATTATTGTCAATGACAATTCTGCATTTTCTTTGACAGAGAAGGTCACAATAGTTTCTTGTACAAATTTAACTCTTTCTCCAAGGTACGCAAATTATGCTGAGGTATTTGTCAGTGACCACTTTACAGCTGGCAATTATAATTCTCTTTCTGCTAAAATTCCGATTTTCAATGTTAACATAACCATGAGTATTATCAGATTTCTTACAATTTCATACCTCACCTGGCAGAGGTGCTGAAAATGTGATGCTTTCCTTTTCCTGTGAGTAATTTAGTTTCTTCTTACAGTTTACAGAGTTCAGCTTATGCCTCGGAGGGGGCTTTTGAATAGTTGGGATTTCTAAATTATCTATATATACTATGAAAATGGGAGCAGTAACTTTGCTCATTAAATTTGAGAAGCATAAGGGTTTACTCTTTAAAAACAATATTTATAGGTATTTGCTGTCTTTTTGTGATTCATCCTTTTTAACAATACACTAGAAATAGAGAAGGATCACGGACAATTACAAAAATAACCACTTAAAATATTTTTAAATAAAGTGTTTTTGTTTTAAAATGTAGCCAGATTTAGCCAAAAGACATTTAACAGCGTGAAACGTGTAGTGGTGTTTTAGTGATAAACTCTTTAAAGAAATAATGGCAAATGGTTTTTATCTCACTTTCCAAATTTTCCTTCTATATTTGAAATGTTCTTGATTCGTATATAATTTATTTCCCATCTAAATGAGTTTAGGGTAACGCAAAGAGAACATGTAATTAACTTACTACAAAATAGAAATAGGAAACTCAGACCAAGGAGAGGAAAAAGAAGCAAAGGATTGCACGTCAAATATGACTATGGCTTCCTAGCAGTAAGGGCAAAAAGGGAAACACCTCCTCATTTCTCGGGAGAGACAAGGTTTTTCAAGGCACTAAGTTTGAAACTTTATTTCTGAATGGAGCCAGATAGCAGGAGCAGAGTCTTCCACAACAGCTTTTACAGCAGACGCAAAAGCATTTTTTATTTGACGATTTCTTGCACCAACCGCCAATCCGGGGGTGCAGCGTGGGAGCCCACTCAGCCAAGAGGACGACCGCCGAGAGCCCTCGTCTCTGGCGAAACACTCTTGTTTTCTCGGTTTGGTCAGGCCTCTCGGATGCAGGCGGCACAAACCCAGGTCCACCAGCTCACGGAGCAGAGTGAAAGGGTACATTAGGCTTTGGGTGACATGGTGCCAGTGTCGAAAAGTGTCAGTCGGGCTCTGCTTGGCGTCTGTCTCTCTGTCCTGCCTCTCTGTGGTGGCAAAGGTGGCCCGAGTCGCTCGAGGCCGATACGCTTGGTTCTCGGTGCTCGGTGACCCCAGCGAGCAGCATCCGTTCTCTGTCCCCATCACAGACTG